TCGACCACCTATGGCGGCCACAACCTACGGCGTCCGATGACGACATAGAGCGACTGATGGCGATTCACGGCAACCGGTGACGGCGGTGAGCTTACAACGGACAGCATTGATTTTGCAGCAGATCCAACAGTAACAATTGTGGGTTGCGGCAGTAATAGGTCCGGTGACTGACTTGCAGCGGTGGCCAGAGATTTTGTAGCGATGATTTTGCAACCTTACATGTAGTGATGATGATGGTATATTTCCTGCCCACTATTCTCTACCCATGCATGCAAGAGTAAGTATCGTTGTTCTATTTGCAACCTTACCTGTAGCTTGGCAAACTGATAAACAATGTGGTGGTTCCCAATTGAGTGTCAGGCTCGAAATTGGTGGTTCCCAAAAGTTTTGCATTTTTTTGAAATTTTTACCTTTAAGCTTGAAGGACCTGAAGGTATAAAATGCTTATTTTTTTGAATTTTTTTGTGAGTTTAATTAATTCTTTGAATATTTTGCTTAATTCTTTGTTTAATTAATCTAGCTTAATTAATTTTTTTTCTGAATTCTTTGCTTAATTAATTACAAAGATTCACATACTCACATTGATTTAATTAATTTTGCTTTATTAATTTTTTTTCAATTCCTTGCTTATTTTCTATGTGAATGATGATGATGATCAGATGATGTCAAAGTTTCTGCAAACAGATGGTTTTTGTATTTTCTGAATTCTGACATTGGTTTTTGTATTTTCTTATTTGCTATCTGAATTCTTTATTAATTTTTTTGCATTTTCTGCAAACATATGGTTTTTGTATTTTCTGCAAGAAATTTTTGTACTTAGATAGTTTTATCTTTCTGTATTTTTTGGATTTTTTTCTGTATTTTTAGAATTTTTCTGTATTTTATTTTCATATTTTCTGTGTTTAGATAGTTTTATTTTCTATATTTTCTATATTTGTTTCTCTTTTTATTTAATTTTATGCTATTTTTTACTATTTATAAATATATTTTTAATTTTTAATTTATTTATGATGTCACAGGTCGAACCGGTTCTATTTCCGGTTCATTTTTAAAAACCTTGATTGGGATTAAGGCTTAGCAATAGTCAATAATGCAACTCAAGAATTTAAAATTGACCCCCACTTGGTTTTTAAGCAGCAAGTCTAAACAGCCTTGTTGCAGGGATTAGGGAAACGTATACAAGGTTTGTATAAATTTTCCTATCTTTACCTTCCTTTCCCTATCTTTTTCCTTCAAACCAAACACGACCTAAAAAAATGTTTTCTTGTTGATCTAACAACACTCTCGTGAGATCAATCCATACATTTTATATTACTTGAACTTTCCTATTTGTCCTACTAGGAAAAAAAAAACTTTGGATGGATCTATTGGCACCATCCATCTGAATTTCCCCTTAAATTGAACGTTGATGGGTCTTGTTGTGGGAACCCAGGTGATTGTGCTAGAGGTGGGATTATTAGAGATAACAATTGTTTAATGGTTTGCACTTATTATAATCAAGGTTCAAAGTATTGGAAACGCTAAGTGTATTGGAAAGGCAATTTTAAGAGACGTACCGGGATACGCCTTGGATACGCATGCATATCGGAGAAAAACTAAGATACGCTTGGAAACACTATAAATACTTTAATAAATCATAAAAATACATCAATAACACTAAATATAAGACCTCAATGAGGTGTATATACATTAAATTAACATATTTTAATGGTTTTATGAAGAAATATATTGTAGTTAATTATAATTTTATTAAAAATCCTATACTTAACTATAATTTATAAATTATAATTCTGAAGTTTTAATGTTTTATGGAATGGGAAAAACCTAACTCTCCTATCCAACCATAAAACATGCATTGGCACAACTTCTAAGTGAAAATATAATTAATAATTATTTATCATTTAAATAATTACTATTTATTATTTATTTCCAAATATTATAAAAAGTAAATAAACATTATATAATATATTCAAAAAATAGTTATTAAAGAAGAAATTTCAATTGCTTTGTGGATATGATAGATCATTCATAGAATTATAATATATTCAATCATTGTGATCAAATGATAAAGTATAATTAATTAATTAATTAATTTTTAATTCTAAACATATAAAAGTAAAAAAATAATTATTAATGAATAAATTTCAATTGGACTGTGGATATGATAGATCATTCATAGAATTATAATATATTCAATTATTGTGATCAAATGATAAAATATTATTAATTATTATTTATTTTTTAATTCTAAAATATAAAAAATAAAAAAAATATTAAAGAAGAAATTTCAATTTCTCTATGGATATGATAGATAAATCCATAAATCTAAAACATATTTAGTATTTATAGGTAGAAAAAATTATATTTTTAATTCTTTTGTTAATTTATATTTTCTCGAAATATATTCATGAAATTTCCATAAGTCTATTGATAACACAAAAAAATTATGATTTTGAATTTACGAAATGTAGATCAACATAATTTAAACATTCAAGAAAAAAAAAGATATCACAAGGTACTATAAAAAATTGAAAAATATACCTATTTTTGCCATATTTTCAAAATTTGAAAAATCTTCAAAACAAATTAATGATTCACACTTGTTTCTTGCAAATTTTTGCAAATCTAGCACTCTAGGAATGAGGTTTGGAGTTTTAAAGTCATTTGGGGGGGTGAAAGAAAGCTTATTTTAGGAAAGAGGTTTGCTTTCCACATTTTTTTTTTCAGTATTTGGTTCTATCTTTTTTATCGATAAACCCCTGATACGGTCCAATATGGGTCCGATACACATGAAAAAGACGAGATGCCCGATTTCCATGTGTATCCTATATCTATTTTTCAAAGATATGATACGATATGCCCCGTATCAAGCGTATCCTTGGGCACTTCTGGATCAAAACTTTTCTATAGTAAGGGATTGACAGAAGGGGAAATAGAAAGTGATAACAAAGTTCTTGTGGATGGATATCCTCATTAGTTCTCAGTCGCCTCCTTGGTGTATCAATTATGTGTTAAGAAAAATCAGATTTATATGTTCGATTATGAGGTATAAAGTTTGTCATACACTTCGCGAAGRTAATAGATGTGCATTTGGTTATTGAAGAAATGAGATGCCATGTGTTTAATTTCCCCCATTGAGATTCCTCGTGATTTCCTAACCTATTTGAGGGAGGATTGCATGTGATTGCCAATCTTAAGAATTGATTAATGAGGTGTTTATGGTCTTTTATTTGTTTTCTTCTATTTTGTGTAATGTTGTTGGGTAGGGTTGAGAGGGAAAGGAAATGTGATTGTATTTTGTGTCTTGGGGCAAGGTCGGCTACGTCCTCCCTTGTAAATAATTTTCCTTTTGATGTTAGTTGATTAATTGCAATCAAGGATTAAAGTATTGGTATCGGATATCGTATCGGACAACTTGGATACAAATACTATAAAGATACGCTTAGGAAATACATGGATATGAACAAAAGAATATGGAAACACTTGGATACACTATGAAAATGCACACAAATTCCATAAATATATTAATAGCATTAAGTTTAATGTCAAAACAACTATAAATAATATATAAATACATATGAATTATATATTTAAATGATATGTATATATAATATATATACATACGAAGAAATATATTATAATTAATATAGTAGGACATGTAGATATTATACCATTTTATTAATAATGTATCAATCAAGAGTCCAAGGCAAATATTATATAGATTTTTACAAATCAGCACATGCAAAAAGCCAATATTATATTATTATCTATTAAGGTGTAAGGCATAAAGCATATGCAACTATTATATTTGAATTATTATATCATTTTTTCTTTTATTTTTATTTTTATTTTTTAACATTAACAAAAAATTCAACTAAAAATTAATTCTTAAATGTTTGATAAATAATATTTATATTTTTGTAAACAACAAATATGTTATTATAAAATGTTAATTTAAATATCAATTAATAATTTATAAAAATATATAATCTTAACATAAAATATATCAAATCTATTAAAATTTTGAAAATGCATATCATATGAAAATTCATAAATTTTAATTATTAAAATAATTATTCCATTATTAATATTTTATTTTTAGATTCTTGGGAGGGGTGGACTGCATACAAGCCTAGCCTTTCGCATATATAGTCAAACTTGGGCCTGTGTTCTAATGCTTGTCAGCTTTAGATTTTACCATTAACACAATAATAGATCTAAAAAAGAGATAAACCCAGAAAATTTAAGACACTCATGTGGGCCCTATGTGTATGGAATAGTGGCACGTTTACTTATGATTGGTTAYGTAGCCTGTTATATATACGGCGGTGGAAGCAACAGATTGGGGCTCAATATAAGATCTCTGCAATACCCCTTCCTATTAGACATTGCATACCCTTAGCTCCAATTAGATTGATGTACATAAAACATTATTAGTGAATGAATAAAGTATATTATTGTTTTATGTCCTAATCGATATATTTTCTATAAATACCCATTAAACTGGATATTTGTGAAACTTGTGTTAGTTTAGAATGTTCTCAGCAGTTAGATAGATTTGGGGAGTTTATCGTGATAAGGCTGACACTGGTGTGATGCCAAACTGGTGGAGCAACTTGTCTCAGTGGTTAGGGTTAGATCACAAGCACATCTAGTGAGTGTTTAGAAGAAACACTAAATCTGGATCAATTTCTAGTTATGCAGCATAGTTGTCAAGGCGCCGCCTAGGCAACTAGGCGGTTTTTGAAGGTCGCCTTCGCCCAAACACCAGATGTTTTGTGCACTAGGTGCCCGCCGAGAGACTTAGGCGCCTGGGCGGGTGCCTAATGCATCTAAAATATTTTTTTCTACATTTAATAGTTTAAACGTTTAATATTCATTGGTTGTTGTATTTTTTTTTAAAATAAACCTGTTTCACTCTATCAGTTTAAGTATTTCGAGTTTAAGACATAGTTTATACACCAAACTAATTTCTATGTTCTTTCTTGAGAAGGGTTTTGGTTCGACTGGAGAGAGAGGAGAACCGAACAGGCGAACTATGGAAGCTCGAGGAGCCCAGCTCCATCGAACTCACACTCACACCTTAGTTCGAGCARGTAGTTCTCTTCTTCTTCTTCAGATTTCAGAGTTTCAGTATTTTTTTTTTCTTTTTTTTTTCTCGAAAAACAAAGGCTCCGCCAGTCCTCCCTTTCTTCTTCTTCTTCTTCTTCTCCTCCTCCTCCTTTCTCTTTTCAGATTTCAGTCGAAAAACAGGGGCTCGCCACTTCGACAGTTCTTTTTTTTTTCGAAAATCAGTCCTCCTCCTCCCTTTCTAGTTTCTTCTTCTTCTTCTTCTTCTTCTTCAGATGTCAATTCAGTTGAAAAACAGGGGCTAGCCAGTCCTTTTTCTTTCGAAAAAATAGGGGCTCCGCCCCTATACTCATCAGTCCTCCTCCTCCTCCTCCCTTTCTTCAGATATCAATTCAGTCGAAAAACAGGGGCTAGCCAGTCCTTTTTTTTTCGAAAAAAACAGGGGATCCGCCCCTATACTCCTCCCTTTCTAGTTTCTTCTCTTCTTCTTCTTCTTTAATTCTTCTTCTTCTCGTTCATTTTTTTGTATCATTTCATTAATATATGTAATTATGTGAATGTGGCTGATTTTTTATGACTGAATTAAATGTCTTGAATATGAAACTTGAATCAAATGGTTATGGTTGCTTCTTCTTATCATTCCATTTTTTTTATATCATTAATATATATAGTTATAATTATGTGGCTGATTTTTTATGGCTGAATTAAATGTCTTGAATCTGAAACTTGAATCGAAAGGTTATGGCTGCTTCTTCTTCTTCTCATAATCTCATTCAATTTTTTTATATCATTAATATATATAATTATAATTGTGTGACTGATTTTTTTATGGCTGAATTAAATGTCTTGAATCTGAAACTTGAATCAAATAGTTATGGCTGCTTATTCTTGTCATTCAAATTTTTTTATGGCTGATTCAGTGATTATATGACTGATTAGTCTGAATATTTTTATTTTATTAATTATTAATTACTGAATACTAATATGTCATTGTTGATTAATTTATTAATTACTGAATACTAATCTGAAACTTGCTTTGTGAGTTTGCTTTGTTTTTATTAATTTATTAATTTATATCATTGATTCATTACTGATATGTGATTGCTAAATGCTGATTTGTTTTTCTTTTCATTAATCATTAGATAATGGCAAACGAGGCAAATCAAAACACTTCTGGATTTGGTACTAAGAATAAGGCCCAATCAAAAGATCCAGCATGGAAGTATGCTTGTTGGCATGATTTAGAGGACAAAAATGTGATTACATGTTCGTTGTGTGGAAAGATTGTCAAAGGATGAATTAAAAGAGTAAAACAACATTTAATTGGAGGATTTGGGGATGTTACCAAGTGTTCAAAAACCACAATGAGTATTGCAAAGGAGATGCAAGAATACATGTGTAAAAATAAGAGGAATAAGCCGTTAAGTGATTTTGTAGTGGAGGATAGTTATGGGCCATGGGAGCAAATGGTTTGTGAGAGAGAATCTCACCATGAAAGTAACCAACCTATGGAAGTAGGTGGCTCCATTTCAATTGGTAGGAGTTCCTAACCACCATTAAACCCCATGTTTTCACAAAAAAAGAAAGAAAATGTTAGAGGACTCATGGATGCTTTTGTGAGGCCAATTCCAAAAGAAGTGGTAGAGGCAAGGCATAAGGGGAAAATTGGGCAACTGGTGCAAACAAGCATAGAAAGCCGGTTGAAAAAGGAAGAAAGGAAAATGGTGAATGAATATGTTGCAAAATGGTTTTGTCAAGCCGGAATACCCTTCAACACAGTAAAGTTGAAGAGTTTTGAGATTATAGTAGAAGCAATTGCACAGTTTGGGTCTGGGTACAAACCTCCAAGTTACCATGAGTTGAGAGAGCCACTCTTGAAAGGGGAGGTTGAGAGAACAAAATTGCTTTACAAGGAGTATGAGGCCTCTTGGAGAACTTATGGCTGCACTATTATGTCTGATGGATGGACAGATAAGAGGCAAAGAAGTTTGATAAACTTTTTGGTGAATTCTCCTGAAGGTACTTTCTTCCTGAAATCAGTTGATGCCTCCAATGAAATCCACAATGCAACTTATTTGTATGAGTTGATTGATAAGGTCGTTGAGGAAATAAGAAAAGAACATGTGGTGCAAGTGGTTACTGATAACCACTTTGCTTATATTGCTGTAAGAGACCTTTTGAAGATAAAGAGAAAGAATTTATTTTGTACACCTCACGCTGCTCATTGTTTGGACCTCATGTTGGAGGATATTGGAGGATTGAAGTCTATCAAGAATGAATTACATTGCCAAGGAAAGACATGTGATGGCCTTTATCTGCAGACATCCTCTTCTCCTTGCTTATATGAGGGGGAAAACACAGGGGAGGGATCTTATTAGATGTGTTGTTACAAGGTTTGCCACATCATTTCTTACTTTGCAAAGCTTGTTCACTTTCAAAGAGCCATTGTGTTCTTTATTTGTTAGTGATGTGTGGAGTATAAGTAAATGGGCAAACAAACCAGAGGGTTTAAGAGTCTCAAGCACTATTCTTTCAGTAACATTTTGGAAAAATGTAAGGATTGCCCTCTTAGCTTCCCAACCAATTATGGAGGTCTTATGGTTGGTTGATGGGGATGAAAATCATGCAATGGGGTACTTCTATTTTGCAATGGAACGGGTAAGGGAAAAGATCAAAACAAATTTTGGTGAGAAAGAAAGAGAATATAAGCCCATTTTGGAAATTTTTGACAAGCATTGGAATAACTTGATGCAACATCCTTTGCATCTTGGTGGTTTCTTCCTCAATCCAGCCCTCCTTTATAAAGCAAAAGCTGAAGATGAAGCATCAATTGGGAAGTTTGAATTGGGCTTTATAGATTGTATTGAGAGGATGGTGAGTGACGTTGAAATTCAAGATAAGATCTCCCATCAAATGGAAGAATATAAGCATGCCCGTGGTGCATTTTATAAGGAAATGGCAATTAGACAACGGGAAACAAAACAACCAGGTAAGATATACCTCATTACCTCTAGAATCTTATTTTTGTTATTTTTTTGTATTGCTATCTTTGATTTTGTATTCTCTAATTTAATTTTTTCTTTATTTGTAATTTGTTCTTTGTAGTTGATTGGTGGCATACTTATGGACATTGCACACCAAACCTTAGGCGTATTGCATTATACATATTAGGTCTTACGTGCACATCTTCTGCCTGCGAGCGTAACTGGAGCACCTTTGAGCATGTAAGTAATTTTATTATTATTTTTTAATTAATTTATGAATTTTGATTATAAAAGTTAAAATATTTTCTTTTTATAATCTTCTTATTTTTGTTTATTATGAATTATGAATGTAGATTCATACCAAAAAGAGGAACAGACATGATCAAAAGAGGCTTAACGATCTTGTCTTTGTTCAATATAATCAATGTCTTCGTGAGAGGTTCTTAACAAGATGTGCAAATCCATGGCAATTTGATCCCATTTGCTTCGATGATGTTGATGAGAGTAGTGAATGGTTGACTGGAAGAGACCCATCAAATGAGCTCATTCATGAAGGTGGTGATCTCACATGGAATGAAGTGGATGAAGCAATAGGAGCAACTGAAGCTGTTGAGGGTGCAAATAGGCCATGGAGAAGTGCATATATGGTGTATACACGTACAAATAGAAGCGGAGGTAGAGGTGGTCATGGAAGAGGCGATGGTAGGGGACAAGACAAAGGAAAGAGTGTTGTGCAAGAAGAAGAAGATGAAGACTCAATGTGGGATAGAAACATTAAGGATAATGAAGATGAAGATGAAGATGAAGTTGGAGAGCTTGATGGGGAAGATGAAGACGATGTGGATGCGGATGATGTTGATTGTGTTGTTATTTATTGGAGGGGTTGCGGGCTCTTATTACCTAAATACTGAAATTAGCTAGATATTTTTCTTTATCGATCATCTATAAACTTCATGTTTTGTTAATTGTTATCCTTAATCCTTTTGTGGAAATTTTGGAGAATTGGATAAGTGCCATATGTATTTTTTGTTATGGTTTTATTCATTGCTTGATTTGGTTCCTACTTCCTAGTTCCTACTTCCTATCTACTTCCTTTAAATGCCTAGAATAAATAAATTTCAATCAAGGTATGTCTATGTCATATGTGTTTGATTTGATTACTTTTATTATTTATTCATTTATTGTAAATTTACAATGCTTTTTGTTTAATTTATCAATGATTTGTGTGTATGTGTGTGTTAAAGGAAAAGTGAGAAAAGATGTCTTTGACTCTTTGTGAATTTAAATTTGTTTTTGTATTTAACTATTTATTAATTATTACTTGATTAGTTTAGTTTTTTAGTGTAGTTGCCTTGCCTAGTTGGTTTAGACTCCTTTTTATTGATAATATTTTATATTTTTAGATTTTTATATGAAATTTGTACTCACTTGAATGATTTATAGTGTTAATAATTAGCGTACATGATTTCTAGTTAGCACATAAAACCAATAAAATGACATAGAAAAGCATATATAAAAAAACTCAATAAAACAAGCATTTTAAAATTCCAACGCCTAGGCGCCTGAGCACCCTGTGGTCACCTAGCCTCGCCTAGGCGCCTTGAAAACTATGCTTAGACCTTGGAAATAGATGGGCAAAACTGAAAAGTTACACTTAACCCCAGACTTGATTATGATACTATACTAAGTATTGGACTGAGCTACATTTGATGTGCCAACCAATGAAATCTTTCAAGAGTTAAATACCTAAGCATGTTGGGGCAATTTGGAAAATTACTTGAGTGGGTGATCATAGTGATAGGATCGACCCCTTTGTCAAACAAAGTGAATATCATGCTTTACATTTTGAAATCTAATTTGCAAAATGTATCTATATATTATTTTACTATTTTATGAAAAAGGTTTGCAAAAATTTTAATTCTAGGATCCATCCAAACAGAGAGTATGACACTATGTTTTGTAGTCAGGGAAGAGGTCCTTCCCTGTGGACAGTGTTTTGATGATTATGGGCCGGGAGGTTAGGTGTAAGAGACCATTACAAGGTTAATTACCTAATGTGATAAGTCCATTATTCTTGTGTTTTCATAGGGTGGCTGAATCAAATGATCATTTAGGTGTAAATGTTGGGCCCAAACTGAGCTCAAGATGATTGGGTCAGGGGTTCACTACCTTGAGCATCGAATTTGGCCTAACCTCTTCTAGAGGTGGGGCCGAACCCTTGTGGACTTTTGTGAGACCTTTGTGAGTCCATGTCATACAATAATAAGGCCCAAAGTGGCCATGCAACACCTTGGGACGTGAACCATTACAGAAAATGGGCTTAAGGCCCATTACTTATATGATTAGTTAAGTGATCACATTTCAATTTAAGTTGTCATGTAACTTGGGTTGAAAATAGGCATGGATATAGAGCACCTATCCTCTTAAGACGATAGTGCTTATCAATTAAAAACAGAGTCCTGATCCAAGTTTGATTTGGATAAACTCCTAATTAGATTAGGATAGTGCTCTATATAAAGGAGAAAGAGGGGAGAGTCTAATTCAGCTAATTCTCTCAACTTTCTTGTTCTCTCCTCTTCTCCCTTGCCTCCCAGAAACCCTAATTTGACTTAGCATTGTTAGGGACTGATTTCTATTATGAAGGGTCAAACGAAAGACTTTTATGGTGAAATTTGGTGGGTAGACACTTTTGGACACCTTGAATATGATGGATATTTGATTAAAGGTGTGAATTAAAAGATTTGGTTTAGATCAATGTTTTGGTTACTGGCTCACTAACCAATGAGAATGTCCAAAATGGAATCATGCTTTTTTTAGGGGAAAATGGAGTAATTTAAGTCCAAATCTGATGGGTAGTTGAATTTGAAGATTTTGGTCTTGAGATATGACTTTTTGTATAGCAAGGTTCAAAATTTCATCACGTATAAGCCTGTATCGATTGATACATATCGTATCAAGGTCTTCTCGATACGCCCCTACAGGGGGTGTATCAGGTTAGGCCATGGTTCAGAGGGTAGGCGGGACTTAAACCGACCCCTCTGAACCGATTTTGAAAAAAATAAATAAAACACAAAAAAAGGGAGAAGAGGAGAGTTTTGGGTTAATTGTAAATGTCAAATTAGAACCTTGTTGATTAGATGGTTAAACAAGGGAATTTTGGGTTAAGATATATCGTGTGGACATGACTTATGATGAGTCAAGTGAATGAATCTGATCTGAGAATGAAATAATTGATCTTGGTCTTTGAACTCTAATCATTCAGGGTCGTCAAAATGGAATCTTGGTATTTTTAAGGTGGATTGTCATAGATTAGCAGTGGGATTTTCTAGTTAATATCCTAATTGTCTTAAGGTGATGGATGCATTGGATTTGATTTTGGGGAGTCGGAATTTGAATATTACATAAGTCGGGATCATTAGAAAAGAAGTATGAACGATGGATATTTAGAGTTTAGTCATGAAAAGTAACTAAGTTATAATTTCCAAGTGTAGGGGTCAAGTCCGATCAGATGTTGATGTTAATATCTCGTGAATTATGTCAAAAGAGGCAATTTCAGGTTTTAGAAAGTCTCAAGTTGATCTAGTTGTGTTTCTAAATTTTGGGGTCTAAAAAGAGGATACAAAGTAGGATGAATGTATCGAGCAAAAATTAAGTGCTAACAATAGATATAATCCCAACTTCATAAGAAAGAGAATTAAGGTAAAAGGAAGGTGGTACAAGTTTTTTTATTAGATGCAAAATTTGCACTTATGATGAATATGAATGAGACAAAAGGTGCTAATTTTGCATTAAATGGGAGTACGAATAGATGAAAAATTGAATAGGTGCATGATTTGTATCAACTCAGATTTATATAATTATATTGCAAACAAAGACAGCCGCACGTTCCATCAAACACGTAGCAATTGCTTTTTCCTCCGTGAACATGTGGTCAAGCGTCAAGTTGACAGCATATTAATAATTAGTATACATGATAATAAATCTGTAATCTCAAATGCTTAAATAACAACTAACTTGAAAGAAATGTTTTGAGAGAGACAGAGGTTCTTCTATTTGTTCTTTTCAATTAGCATTACTTGGAACACACATATGCAAACACATGATTCTTGAAGTAAGCCGATAGAAAAAGTGATCAATGATGAATCTTGTCAGATTGAATATGGATTGATTTCTATGTTTTAATTTCTTTGGGTTTATCTCATTCAAAATAGCTCATGTGAATGAATTTTTGTTATATGGGGAAGAAAATATTAAAAACAATGCTTATTAAACTGATGTAAGTATGTACAATGAAGTAAGACCCTGACTCATGTGATTGACTCCAAGAATAGAAAGACAACTTAAGTGGTTTACTAAAAAAGAAAAAAAAAACAAAGAAAGACAACTTAAGTACTGCCTTCCTCTCCCGATCAACTAGTCCAGTTCTACTAATTATCAACACCATCTCAGATCAACTTCCAATTCAGCTCTATTAATTGCATCTGTTTTAGGGCTTGTTTGGTACATCTTTTCATGTGGTCTTTCGGCTGTTTATAAGTCGGGTAGACCAATATTCGGTCTATTCCTGTTTGGTTCACGGAAGATTTAGTCGCCAAAAGTCGGAGCATCAAAAAGATGTGAGAAGACCATTTTGGGCTGATTTCRGGAAGTTCCAAATAAAGCTTTTCACGTTTTATTCTCATACAGAAAGACACAGAATGACGTATATCTACCAAACTATCTTCGGATTGCTCAGATCTTTATGCAAAAGCTCAATACATCTTTTGACTGTTAGATCTGCCAGAAGATCTTTTCAAAAGAACTTGCCAAACAGACCCTTAATCTTTTTTGAGAAATTAGATATGACAAAAATCATCCTAGTCAGATAACCTCTTTATCTACATATTGCTTTTCTTGGGTAAGCGGTTTTGATATCACAAAAGCATCGTAGCCAAAAACTGATAACCAATCAATCATCATCATCCAATTGACAACCAACCAACTGGTATCCATTAAAATTCACGAGGGTTTGAGATTAGAGAAAATTTAATCAGATATCATACTTTTCTAGTATCACATAAATTGGCTCTTTTATTTTTTTTTTCATTGCCAAAAATTGCCACTTGTATATTGTATAGATACATGCTATGTAATGTGTGCAAGTATTAATCATTTGTGAAATATGACATTTGGATTTAACTCTTATAACATGTACTGAAATAAAGGCGAGCAGGAGCTTAGCCAAGTACATTGGTGGGGTCCCTCCCAACTATTGTTAAAACCATTATTTATATAGTAAGTATAAAGTGGGTTCTTGCCCCCCCCCCCCAAAAAAAAAATAAAAAAAAAAAAACTTGAAATTCCCATTAAAATATTAAGCATCACCCTCCATTCCCTATCTCATTTTCTTATTTAACTTCCCCTTACCAAAAAGAAGCATAAAATGGAAAATTAGAAACATATTCAAGAAATAAAATAAATTGAAATAAAAAATTGAGTGGAACAACATGAAGGTGAAATTTGAGATGGCACCAAATAGAATGAAATGACAATGTAGTGGATCGAAGGTGTAAGTACATGTAGTCCTCCATTGTCATAATTATGACAAAGATAACAAACCAGAACCACATATATATCTGCGATGAGCTCAGAAAGCCACTCCAAGCCTGCGACGAGCTCAAAAGGCTATCTTAAACCCGTTGTAAGTACAGGTAGCTCACCTTCATAGAATTTACAATTGAAATCGTAGAGCAATATTACGAACAATGCCTAGAGCACCAGAATGACCAACGAACCTCTGTAATAGCACGACAACACTCCATAGAGGTAACACAACACTTACGAACTTGCAATGAGCATAAAACACCACCCAGGATCCGCGGTAAGTGTAGAATGCTACTCGAGACCCGCGATGAGCATAGAGTACTATCCGAAACATGCGATGAGCATAAAATGACATCACAAGCCTGTGATGGACCCAATACGCCACCAGTACCCTATGATGAGCAAAAAATAGTAGTTTACACCGTGATAAATTAAACTATGAATAAAGCCAAAGCCGGCAATATGTATTCACAAGCAACTCACACTCCATATAGTCGTAGCTTTCCATGACAAAATGTTCCAAAAATGACTTATAGAGACATTTGAACACATCAGCTGAATGAAAGTCCCGACATGTGAAAGCAAAAGAACCCATGAAGGGGTGTAGCCAACACGTGCTATACGAGAATCCTTAGCGAAAGGAAACTCTATCCCTAGAAGAGTTTTCCTAGACATGTTGCAAAACCTTAATGGAATTCACTTGATAACTGATATGAGGATAAAGATCCCATTTCCTAATAAAGAACAGTMTCTTTTGGGATCTTCTCCTAATAGCATCRGGATCCCCTCTATAAAAAGAGGGACAACCCTCCTCCCAAATCAAACACTACCATATAACCTTAATCCTAGGGTTTCTCAGAGGAGGTCTCTCTCACTCTGTCTCTCTCTCTCTCTCAATCCTTCCTACACTCTTCTCCCACCATCCTCTACAACTAGTATTCTCTCTCACATTCTCTCTTTCCAGCCGTCTTCTCCAAACCTTCGGAGGCTTGACCAAGCCATGGTGAACATAGAGTCTATGGAACCTACATGTGAATCTCTAGTTATGCTTTAGATCTATGGGGAATATAGCGTTTCTAATGTTCATGTCATCAGATATCAGCTTCACCATGATCCATTCATGATTGTCTGTTTGTCTTGTTCCAATTTTTGGGTTGGAACCATCAATCTTTAAGAAGGAAGATATGTCACCAAAGTCCTCTCAACCACAGATAACCTACCTTTTTTTTTGTAGAACTGCATGACTTGATCTCATCGTAGCCATCTCAAAACTTAAAAACGCTCCCCTTCTTGTGGACGCCCTCTGTTTGTACCGTCGGATTCCAATATCGCGATCACCAAGTATTAGATTTCCGATTTGCAATATTTCTTATTCGTGTCTGAGATTGGTGCTCGGCTATGACAAGATTGATCAATGAAGATTAAGGTCAGCTGAGACATGATCGATTAATGAGGATCAAGACGGGATTTTCACAGCAGCCATGGTTTTACTGGTAACATACCTTAGAGAAGAGTTCCGAAGGTGCTGATTCCTCTACTCAAACTTATTATCTGTCATAGTAAGAATCAGGTAAGGTCTGCAGCCCAAAGAATATTTTCTTCGCTATGATCCGAAGATTAGAAGTATTACTTTACTAAACTCATGAAAGAAATCATAAGTGTATATGTAAAGAAATAGAGGAACATTAAATTGATCTCTATCATATCGAATTTGAGACTTCTTTTATAAACCTGAATTCTGATTTGTCCTCTCTAGTTGAAATGGTCGAGGCTTGCAATTGTTTTTTTCTTTTCAAACCTCTAGTTTTATCAGTTTCTTTTTGGCTCTATCCCTGTTGAAATAAGTCTTTGATATATGATGAATCTTCTAATCCTTTAGTCTTTTCTCTCAAATGGCTCTCAACAAGGGGACCGCGATTCTCAAAACTCAACCACCAAGTTGTGTAAAGCTCCATGGTTAGAAAGAAACTTTTCATCGCAATGCACCTCCAGCATTACCCTCTATAAAGAATCGAGCCCCCTGTTTGAGATCTTGCCTCATGATGATAAAATACTTAGAGTACAGATTTTAGGATATGTCGAAACCATCCACCGTAGCCTGGAAATATTAGAGGTAGGAGTCATTTGCTAACTTGAATCATCACCAAACTATGACATAAGCCTCATCCAAAATCGGTTCCTAGTCACTAAATTCATCGTTCCCATCTTGCCTCTTGTCACCAACATCCGTGATCATATTCTCTTGCGATGGTGTAGTGCCATACGCGATCTCTTTTCCTTTTTATGCATTCTTGAACCAGATTTTGTTGAAGTTTCCTCCTGCCTTCCCTTTCTTACAATCCTTCAATCAAAATATATTCCGGTGATATTCAAACACCAAATCATTATCTATTATAAACTTACTAACAAAAATTAAATTCTTTGTCAAAGAACATGATAAATATTCTTCAATTCAAATTGATGCTCATTACAAATTAGAGAAGAAGAACTAATACTTTTAATTGTTAAACCTTCTCCATTACCAATTTTTACTTTATCTGTACCTAAAAATTCAAACTTATTTTATAAATTGTCAGCACTAGGAGTCATGTGATGTGTTGCTTCACTATTAGGAAGGGTCAAAATTAGAACTTGAGATATTGAAAAATGACATACCACTATGAAAAGTAGCAGGATTTGTAGAACTGTAATTACTCTACCCTTAATAAGAGATATCATTTATAGATTTTTAGAGCACCATGTCCTCATTTATTACATAGATGACACATAATTGAGCTGCCTCTACCTCATCCTTGTCCTTGTCTAGGCTAGTTGCCATGCCCCTACCTCTTCCATAATCATAATTCCCTCTATTTTGAATTTACAAATTTGGATACATTTTGAAATATATTATGAAAATAGTAAGTGAGACTTTTTTTGGACCAAATTGTCCATTCTCATCGAATCGAGAAGGGAGGTGGAAGTTATTATTCATCATCTTCCTCCTCTTGAATATTGAATCAAAGCATCTCTGGTTGTTATTTTGACTTTTAACCATGATGTTGTCAAAAGTCACCATTTGCTCATTTAGGTCTATACAATAACAAAAAAGGAAATCATTTAACTAGAAATTGAATCCCAAGCTTAATTCCAGTTTTGATGATGATGGTTCATCCATTACATGAGTTCTGAAAACACTACAATAGTTTTTAGCCTTGGATTCTCATAATCAAGACTTAAAGAAAATGGAGAATACTTGCAATGACAACAATCACATTTCCAATATTGGGAGTAAGGATAAGTTACCCTCATAACGGGATAACCACCTCAGTTGTATGATAAGAGCAAAACTCTATTTATTATCTATACTCTGTTCCTTATCTGTATATCTATCCAAATACATGTATTTGTATTCCAACTAGACCAGCTTGTCCTTGGATGGATCATCTCTTCTCTCATTGAAGGCATTGTACCTCAAGTGATTAGTTTAACTTCAGCAGTAGAGGTATGGAAAGCTTTAGCTGCAACATATTCTACTATTTCTCATTCACGAGTGTTACAACTCAAAAGGCAATTACAATATATTAAGAAAGGATCTCATTCTATCTCAGAATATGTAAAAAGTTAAAGGCTATGGTGACAATTTGGCTTCTATATCTGAGTCAATCTCTAAATAAGATCTTATTCTTTATATTATATATCTTTGGACTAGGACCTGAATATGAATCCATCATTACTGTTATTACTAACAGACCTAATTTTGAAACTTTAACTATCAATGATATACTTGGATTATTGTTGAATCATGAGGCATGGTTGGAGCAGCACAAGCAACCCATTTATGAAAATAGTCCATTAGCAAATCTTGTAGAAAATTTCAATAATAACAGGTCAAAGAACTCGTGGAATCAAAAACCATTTAATGGCCATGGTGGTTTTCCTCAAACACATGGTTGTGGTCATGGTGGCAGAGGTCGTAATGGTAATCCAAATCCTTCCAATACATCTAGTGGCAGAGGCAATGGAGGCGATCGAGGCAAAGGTGGTACGCCCTCCATTGTTTGTCAGGTTTGCAGCAAGCCGGGTCATGGCATATTAACCTGTAGAAGTCATTATGACCTTTCATATCGAGAGGAACAACAATTGAATTCTACTGAGCCTGCAGCATATCACACTGGAATGAGTTCTGAATTCAATCCCACTTGGTACCCAAATTCAGGTGCCACGCATCACCTCACTCAAGACTTAGAAAATTTGCAGAACAAGTCTGAGTATTCTGGTCCTAATCAAGTAACCATTGGTAACGAAACAAGTTTGAGATTTCTGAGTATTGGATCATCTTCTCTTCAGTATACTCATCATAGTTTTGCACTGCATAATATATATCATGTGCCACATATTACAAAGAACTTGCTATCAGTGAGTCAGTTCACAAAGGATAATGAACACTTCTTTGAGTTTCATCGTGACTGTTTTCTTTTGAAGGATTATACAAGGAGAGTTCTATTCGAGGAACTAGTAGAGATGGGTTATATCAATTTCCTAGTACTGCTCAAGTCAAGAATAAAGTTGCAGTGTTTGTTGGAGAATGTACAACCTTTTTGGGATGGCACCAATGATTGGGACATGCAACCTTCAAAGTTGTGAGTCAATTCATTTCTAAGTATGGGTTATCATATACAAGTAAGATTAGTCAATTTGTTTGTCAGCCTTGTCAAATGAGCAAAAGTCATAAACAACATTTGTCAGTTTCCACTTATGGTTCTAAGGGTCCATTAGACTTGGTCTATTCAAATGTTTGGGGACCAGTCTCAATTTATTCTAATAAAGGATTTCATTATTATGTAATCTTTATGGATGATTTTTCCAAATTCTCCTGGCTATTTCCTATTGCCAAGAAGTCTGAAGTTATGGATGTGTTTGTGCATTTTAAACGTCACGTAGAGTTGTTATTCTCAACTAAAATCAAGAGCTTCCAATCCGATTAGGGCGGAGAGTATTGGAAATTATCCCAATTTTTTGACTCATAAGGAATTCTCCATAGATTATCCTATCTACATACACATGAACAAAATGGTGTCATTGAAAGGAAACATTGACACTCATCAAATCAACACTCTCTCTACTGGCTTCCTCGTCTTTCCTGTTTTCCTTTTGGGCTGATGCAATTGAAACTTCCATGTATCCAATTAATAGATTGCCCACTCAAACACTCYAGGGTTTCTCTCCAAATGAAGTTTTGTTTCAATGACCACCAGATTATTCATTCATTCAAATCTTCGGTTGCACATGCTATCCTCTCTTGTGACCCTACAATCATCATAAATTTCATTTCGTTCTTAGCAATGCATCTTTATTGGTTACAATTGGMCCCACAAAGGTTACCGGTGTTATCATGTGGCTAGTGGATGGGAATATATTTGTCATGTACATCTTTATTGGTTACAATTGGGCCCACAAAGGTTACCGGTGTTATCATGTGGCTAGTGGATGGGAATATATTTGTCATGTAGTTTTTGATGAGGAATGCTTTCCCAGTATCTCAGACCATACTACTACCGCTACTATTACTAATGGTGAGTGTTCTTCTATAGGTTATATATTTGCTCCCTTGCATGTGCATGCTTCTAGATCGTCACATCTCYCATCTACATCTCCTTCCACTCCCGAACTAAGGGCTGATTGCTCTTCACCGATTTCTCCAATTGATATAGCCTCCCTTGTCATATGACTTGAACCAATTGTCTCATCCACATCAGCATCAAATGCTTTTGTGACTATCTCATCTTCTACTACTCCTCCCATTCACACTCGAGCAATCCAGGAGTTCTCCAGCTGTATCAACACCTTAGCATCGATGAACTCATATAATGATCACTAGGTCCATGAGTTCTAYAACATCCCTTGCTAAAGTTTCCTCTCGAAATCTTACTCTTGAAGCTTTAGTTGCAGACATCATTCCTTCTTAGATTGAACCATCTACATATTCATAAGCTACTAAGGATCATAACTCGCTCCATGCTATGAAACAAATATGATGGCATTGGTGAGCAATCATACATGGCATTTGGTACCATATCATCTAGGAATGAATGTAATAGAACCAAGTGGATCTATAAAATAAAGAGGAAGAGTGATGGATCTATTGAGCGCTCCAAGGCTCGCCTTGTTGCTCAAGGATTTACACAAGTTCAAGGTGTAGACTTCTTTGATACTTTCAGTCCGGTTGTAAAACCGATTAGCACTTGCAATTTCACATGGATGGGAAATATGTCAGTTGGATATAAACAATGTGTTCTTAAATGGAATAGTGGAAGAAGATATTTTTGTTTAACAACCTAAAGGATTTGAGGACCCAACACGACCCACTCATGTTTGCAAGTTGCAGAAGACTCTCTATGGCCTTCAGCAAACTCCACGGGCCTGGTTTTCATGTCTTAACAATTGTCTCACTACACTCGGCTTCAGATGCTTCCAAGCTGATCCCTCACTCTTCATATATTGTAAGAACAAGCTCTCTATTTTCATATTAGTTTATGTTGATGACATTGTGGTTATGGGATCTTCTTCCTCTATTGTTTCACAAGTGATTGCCTCTCTCTCCAACACATTTGCCTTAAAGGATCTTGGCAGACTTCACCACTCTTTGGGCATTGAAGCTTTCCATACTTCTCATGGTTTATTCTTATCTTAATGTCAGTATATTGTTGATCCACTTCGGCGTACTCATTTGGGGTATCAAACCAGTTGTCTCACCCATGCCATCCTCTTACAAGCTTTCCAAGGTGATGGGAAGTGCATTGTCAGATCCTATAGAATATCGGAGCATTGGGGCCTTACAATATGTAACCATTTGTAATGAGTATTGGAAATTATCGCAATGAGTAGAACTTGTATGCTCAAAGCATAAGTAGTAGTTGATAGTTAAAAGATTACAAAATTATTTATATACAAAGAATGGAATAATAATTAAAAGGGTAAATTGTTGAAACCTCCCCTAAAGTTTCTGGTTGTTGCTGAAACCTTCCTTGAAGTTCGGTAATTGAAATCACCTCCCCTGAACTTTCTTACATAGCTACAAATAGACCCCCTTTGTTAGAATCCCCTAAAAAGAGGCATGAAAATGTGCAAACTACCTATGCAATTACTTTTGACAAAAATGTTTATTTTCTAAATTTTCTCTTCATATGAATGACTAGCCCAAACCCCTTCAATCTCTTTTGCTAAAATAGATATATTTTCCAAATTTACCTTGCATATCAATCTCTTAGAGGTAAAGATACAACTTTAAATTCTTCTTTCTTTGTTGTTTATAAAGTTTGTATTGTTTTTCTTATGTAGAACCCAGCTTCAATAGTAATTGCATAGACATTTTGGACATTTTTGTGTCAATTATAATAGAAGGGGTCTACATGCAATTGTGTCAAAAAGTTAAGGGGAAGATTCAACAATTTACCCTAATTAAAAATGAAAGAAAAGAATAGGTAGTTTTCTATTTACATCATTTCCTAAATGAATAGTTGCCTCCTGAGATTTCCAGTCCTAGAGAGTTGCCCTCCTTGGAGATTTCCAATCCTACAGAGTTGCCTCTCTTAGAGCTATCCTTTTCAACACTAGTTGATGCATGGCTTTCTTAAATAGTTGTTATTATCGAAGAGCCAGCTAGGTAGCTAAATGGATCCACCCATAAAAAAGTTCTTTTCTATTTTTCGGTAAACATAGGAGGAGCTACACAATATGTGGGCTACATTGGCCCCACAAATCACCCCAAGAAATAGCAACTAAGGCCCAAGTGAGATGATCATTCCAAAAGGATAAAGGAGCATATGAATATGAAAGAGCTTCTCTCATTGTCCAATCCGCAGCTTGGTTAGCTTCCTGGTAGATATATTGATACTCCACTCCACAACACAGCAACTTACTAAACTTCCAATATTCTTCCAAGATTGTTCTTAGTCTCCATGAAAAATCAGTCTTCTCGACTTCAGGCATGAGATGACTAGAAGAGTCTCCCCTTTGATTAAAATTGGATGATCCCTATAATTCAAATTCATGTTATGGGCTTCCCACGCAGCCCAAGCTTCTGCCAAATTGATGGAGGTATAAGCTCTTAGTTCCAAGGTTTTTCCAAATACATCTTTGACAACACATGAAATAGCTCAAGAACCATAATCAGTCGAGATGCATCAAAATTAATTTTAATCTCATCACCTTTATGGCACTTTCAAATAATATTCTTCCAATTATTTCTATTGTCCATTTCTCCAACCGGGTTGCAGCTATTTTGACCATCCAAAAACATATTAAATGCCCATTCAAGAATAAGACCTGGGTTAGCACATTTGTTATTAAAAGTTTTATTATTTCTATTTTTCCATAAAAACCAGAGAATTATGGAACTTTTTTCCCTAATTTGATACTATTTTCTCCAAGCTTATCCAATTTTCCTACTAGATTCTAATATTATTATATATCATTCTCATCCGACCCAACTAAGGAATTATTTGTAGCCATCATCCATACTTGTTTTGCAAATGGGCATCTATTAAATATGTGATCCACATCCTCAACATCCCCACATAGGCTGCAAGCACCATCAATTTGGAAACCTTTATCCATCAAAAACTTTTTTGTGGGAAGCCCTATAATTAAGAAGAAAGATAATTAGAATGGTTGTATTTTGGGGTGATTCTAAGCCTCCACACTTTGTAGACTAAGATGGTGTTTGGAAGCGTGGGTGATGTTTTGGACCGATTTTCAAGAAAAAATGCCCATGCTTCCAATACCCATTTTTTCACAAAAAACGCTTTGATTTTATTTGAGAGTATTTCTTCCACGTAGGCAGTGAGCAACACTATGCTGTTTGGTAAGGTGATTTTCATCACCGTTTTTCATGTATGTTCTGACAGGTAAGCACAACATAGGATATACATAATCGCCAATCAATCAACCGTTGGGGCAACGGTTCATCGATGCATGAAACATCAAATTTGATATTTCATGCATCGGTGGGCTCCTGATTTACAAAGCATGCCCATGGTTCAAGCATTTTTTAAAAAAATGCGTGAACAAAACAATTATATATATAAGCGTTTGTTGAAACACCTATGTGGATCCAACGTGGCACCATTTTTCATGCATCAGTGGGGTCCTGATTTACAAAGCATGCCCATGGTACAAGCATTTTTTCAAAAAATGCGTGAACAAAACAATCATATATATAGGCGTTTATTGAAACACCTATGTGGATCCAACATGGCACCGTTTTTCAGAAGAACGGCTAGGGTTCCAAACATCCCCTAAGGGATCATACTCCCCATTACTCCCATTTACTAGGAAAGCTTCATCATATGATGATTTGATAGTGAAAGAGCCCTTCGGCCGGGTTTAGACGCCAAATTATCCAATCCCAAGTATTATCTAAAGGGATGGGAATAGGATTAATTTTAAACCAGCAAGAGGGAATCAAAGACTAAATATTTTCCTCTTACCAAACTTTTCTTTCATGATCTATAACATCATAAACTCTTAGATCATCATTAGCAATGCTATTCATTGGCACCACTTCACTATGAGCGGTATCATCCATCCACCTGTCATTCTAAAAATTGATAGTCGATCCATCCCCAACTGTCACTTCGATATCC